TGTTTTCTAAAATGTTCTAAGGTAGTAGGTTTCAGGTATAAATACCCTGTTTTCAGTATGTCTACTGTGCTCTTGCTAAACATTTGTTATTCCTGCTATCACTTATGCAACCTCATTATCATCCAGTATATTAATATCTTGAAGTTTTTCTATATGGAAATACAAGAGGTAGGTAATTTTGTTGTTTTATTTTGCAATATTCAAAATTATTTTTCAAAACAGTTTATACATTTTTTTTTTTTTGAGTTTAAGTGTCACTCTTGTTGCCCAGGTTGGAGGGCAGTGGCACTCTATTATTTTAAGATTTATAGTTTTACTATATATATACATATATATATAAATGTGTGTGTGTATATATATATATGTGTGTGTGTGTATATATATATGTATATGTATATATATATGTGTGTGTATATATGTGTGTGTGTGTGTGTGTGTGTGTGTGTGTGTGTGTGTGTGTGTGTGTGTATGGATGGATCACTGGCTTTCAAAAGGAAGATTAGAACTCTTCATTTGCTTAATCCAAAGACTATCACATAGGGGCTCGTAGTGACTTGCACCTGTAATCCCAGCACTTTGGGAGGCTGAGGAGGGAGGATGGCTTGAGACCAGCCTGGGCAACACAGTGAGACTCCAGGTCTACAGAGAAAAGAAAAAAGAAAAAAAGAAAAAAAAAAACCCAGAAAAAAACCCTAGCTTCTGAATTTGGGGGGAGGTGTTTCCTCCTGGTTCAGCTGCTTTGTGATATTAAACTTTTTCTACTATAACAGTTCCTGTCAGTCTCAGTTTTTCTGGACAGCAAGCATAAGAACCCAGTCAGGCTGTAACACTCATGTAAGAGAAAAGCTACCAGAGAAAAATGTAAATAAGACTCCAAAGGTATTTTTTCATTGGCTTTATATTAAATTTTTACCTTTTTGGTGCCTCTTCAGTTGTGGCATCATTTTGAGTGGAGTCACTCAAAGAGTTTAAAGAAAAAAGGGATATTTTAAATGTATCCTAGCGACATAAAAGGCTGAGGTGGAAGGATTGCCTCAGCCCAGGAGGCCAAGGCTGCAGTGAATAGTGATCATGCCACTGCACTCTGGTCTGGGCAACAGAGTAAGATCCCAACTCAAAAGAGTTTTTTGAACTGTAGATGAGCTTGTTAAAAACCAAAAAATGATCATTACAGTTTTTCAAACCAGAAATGAAAAAGCCATTGAAGTACCATCCAGGGTAAGTTATTGTACTGAATTGCCCCAAGGAAGGAACACAAAATTGCATAGCCAGTATTGCAGAATACCTGCTGGATGGAAAGTCAGAAAAAGAAAATTGCAGCAGCACTGTCTTTCTTTCTTTTTTTTAATTAGAAAATATAGTTTATTTAGAAAGTAAATTGGAGAGAAAGCGAGAGAAAGAGAGGAGTCACCTCCCCAAGGGAGGGGAGGGGGCCAAAGTTTAGAAAACATGGCCTGGTCATAGCTCAAAGAGCACATGGCCACACCATAGCTTAGCCAACAGTGTCGCTTTCTAATAATACAGTAGCTTGTCAAATTAAAGATTTAGCAGTAAATGTGAAGGCTGAGTTCATCTCTTCTTTGCAGTATTGTGCTGATGTCTTACAAGTGGCCAAATCAATAGATATGGCTGGACTTGCTATGTTGCTTGTGCTCATCCAGTATCAACACTGACTAATCGAAGAACTTCTTCTTACTTGGAAATAAATACAAGTAGTGCTAAAACATTCAAAATGCTAAATAACTTTATTCATTCTCTTAGTTGATCCCAGAGCACCTGTGTGGCAGTGATTGGTAAAACTGCTGTTGATGCTTTAGCACGAGTCAAAGCAGTGACACTACAGTGTACTAGGAGTCATGTATTGTGTTCATCAGTAGCATGTAACTACAGTCTAATAATAGCTAGATTCACTTATGGATATCCTTGGTGAAAGGGTAAAACTATTAATTTTTATTAAGTCTTTGCCCTTGAGTCCACATATTTTTAATATTCTGTATGACAAAATAGGAAGTAAGCATAAAGCAAGTCTGCTGCAAATCAAAGTATAATGGTTGTCTTGAAGAAAAGCATATTTGCAGAATCCAGCTGTCTTTTTTTTTTTTTTTTAGTTGAAGTCTTACTCTGTCGCCCAGGCTGGAGTGCAGTGGCATGCTCACAGTCACCTCAGTCTTGACCTGCTGGGCTCAGGTGATCCTTCCGCCTCAGCCTTCCAAGTACCTGGAACTACAGGTGCAAGCCACCACACCCAGCTAATTTTTTGATTTATTGTAGAGTTGAGGTATCGCCAAGTTGGCCAGGCTGGTCTTGAACCCGTGAGCTCAGGCAATCCTCTCACCTCGGCTTCCCAATGTGTTGGGATTATAGGTGTGAGCCAAAATGCCCAGTCCCTAGCTATCTTTTATTAAGTCAGATATTCATGAAAATTGTAAACATGTTAAACAATGTTACTATTCTTACCAAATTTTAAAAAATAATTTTCATAGAAATACGTTACTTATATTAACATAGTAGGTTCAATGTTATTATTGCTTTAAATGAAGTAATACATAAATATTTTTAAAATTTCTCAGTTTTGATTTGCAATATGGTAAATATTGATAGCTATAGCCTGCAAAAGCAAAATATCTTTTGGTTCTCATTGGTTTTTAAGAGTGTAAAGACTGACTGGGCTCGGTGGCTCAATCTGTAGTCACAGCACTTTGGGAGGTCGAGGCTATTGCCTCAGCCCGCACGTTTGAGACCAGCCCAAGCAACTTGGTGAGACCTCATCTCCACAATAAATAAAAAATTAGCAGGCATGGTAGTACACGCCTATAGTTCTGGCTACTTGGAAGGCTGAGGCAGAAGGATTGCCTGAGTTCAGCAGGTTGACGCTGGGGTGGCCGTGAGCGTGCCACCGCACTCCAGTCTGGACGACAGAGTGAGACTCCAACTCAAAAGAAAAAAGAAAAAAAGAGTGTAAAGAGGATTTGAAACCTGAGTTTGAGAACTGTAAGTCTAGCACTTGTAGTCTGTATCTTTCATTTGACAAGTGATAGTTCTTTAATTATTTTCTTGAACTTCTCTGTTTTTATATTATCCAATAGAGTTGTCATCACTCTTTTTTTTTTGAGTTGGAGTCTCACTTGGTCACCCAGACGGGAGTGCAGTGGCCGCTCCCGGCCACCGCAGCCTCGACCTGCTGGGCTCCGGCGATCCTTCCGCCTCAGCCTTCCGAGTAGCCGGAAGTACAGGCACGCGCTACCACGCCCGGCTGATTTTTTGATTTATTGTAGAGATGAGGTCTCGCTGCCCAGGCGGGTCTCGAACCCGCGGGCTCAGGCAATCCACTCACCTCAGCCTCCCAAAGGCGCGGGATTACAGGCTGAGCCACTGAGCCCGGCTTGTCATCACTCTTAGAGTGCTGTAGTAGCAGCTTACATTTGCATGCAGGCTACTTGAGGGCTAGGACTTTGTATCAGCCTGCCTTGTTCCTATAAAAACCCAGTTCAAATTTGTTGACTGGAAAAAGATGCAAGCAAGCTGAAAGGCTTAGCAGAATAAATACATTTTACACTATGAATGCTCCATAGATAGCAATTGACCAGAGTGCTGTATAAAAGGAAATAATCAATGCAAGAGAGTCAGGAAAAATACTGGAAAACAATCAGTTCAAGAGAGTCAGAGCTGGCTCGGTGGCTCAGCCTGTAATCCCGCGCCTTTGGGAGGCTGAGGTGAGTGGATTGCCTGAGCCCGCGG